TGAGGAGGTGGAGGGCGTGGGTGGTGTCACGGACGTAGGTAGGGAGTTCCTGGACCAAGGGGGAGAAAATGGAGTCCAAATAGTTGGAGATAAGTTCGGTGGGGCAGGAGCAGGGCATTCAGGTTTGTGGATTTTGGGAAGGAGATAGACGCAGGCGGTGCGGGGTTGGGGAACGATGAGGTAGGTGGCTGTGGGTGGGAGGTCACCTGAGGTGATGAGGTTGTGGATGGTTTGGGAGATGATGGTTTGGTGCTCGGGCTCACCTTTGTCCCACTCCACCCACACATCAACGAATACTGGTCACGTTTGGACATAGAGCAGTTTTTCCGCCGCCTCTGCCTCCACGCTTCTTCAACCGTGAACCTAACCCCCCCCCTCTACTGACCCCTTCTCCTGCCTCCAACACACCCCCTCCTCCTGGACACCACCCCAAGGCCTCCTATCCTCCCTCGACCTCCTCATTTGCAATTATCGTCGCGACATCGATCGCCTCAACCTCTCCACCCCTCTCACCCGCTCCAACCTCTCCCCCAAAGAATGTGTAGACCTCCACTCCCTCTACTCCAACCCCAACCTCGCTGTAAAACCCGCGGACAAAGGAGCTGCAGTTGTCGTATGACGCACTGACCTCTACATCGCTGAGGCCAGGCGCCAAGTCTCTGACACCTCCTCCTACCACCTCCTTGATCATGACCCCACCCCTGACCACCAAAACATCATCTCCCAGACCATCCATAACCTCATCACCCCAGGTGACGTCCCACCCACAGCCTCCAACCTCATCGTTCCCCAACCCTGCACTGCCTGTTTCTATCTCCTTCCCAAAATCCATAAACCCAACTGCCCTGGTCGACCCATTGCCTCTGCCTACTCCTGCCCCACCGAACTTATCTCCACTAATCTCGACTCCATTTTCTCCCCCACGTCCAGGAACTCCCCACCTATGTCCGTGACACCATCCACGCCGTCCACCTCCTCCAAAACTTCCAATTCCCTGGCCCTCAACACCTTATCTTTACCATGGACGTCCAGTCCCTACATACTTGCATTCCCCATGCAGATGGCCTAAAGGCCCTCCGCTTCTTCCTGTCCCACAGGCCCAACCAGTCCCCCACCACCAAAACCCTTATCCGCCTAACCGAACCCATCCTTACCCTTAACAACTTCTCCTTCAACTCCTCCCACTTCCTACAGACTAAGGGGGTGGCCATGGGTACCCGCATGGGCCCAAGCTATGCCTGCCTCTTTGTAGGATATGTGGAACAATCCCTCTTCCACAGCTACACTGGCACTATCCCCCACCTCTTCCTCCGTTACATTGATGACTGTTTCAGCGCCACCTCGTGCTCCCACGAGGAGCTCGAACAGTTCATTAACTTTACTAACACCTTCCACCCCAACCTTAAGTTCACCTGGACCATCTCTGATACCTCTCTCTCCTTCCTGGACCTCTCTGTCTCCATCTCTGGCATCCACCTGGAAACTGATATCTATTTCATGCCTGGCGACTCCCACAGCTACCTAGACTGCACCTCCTCTCACCCACCTTCCTGCAAGGATGCGATCCCCTATTCCCAATTCCTCCGCCTCTGCCGATTCTGCTCCCAAGATGAGGCGTTCCACTCACGGACATCCCAGATGTCCTCGTTTTTCAAGGACTGCAATTTCCCCTCCACAGTGGTCAAAAACACCCTCAACTGCATTTTTTGTGTTTCCTGCACCTCAGCCCTCACACCCCCTCCCCGCAATAACAACAAAGACAGAATTCCCCTTGTCCTCACATATCACCCCTTCAACCTCCGGATTCGATGCATCATTCTCTGCCACTTCCACCACCTCCAATCTGACCCCACTACGAAGGATATATTTCCCTCCCCACCCTTATCTGCTCTTGGAGGGACCGCTCTCTCCGTGACTCCCTCGTCTGCTCCACATTCCCCACTAGCCCCATCACTCCTGGCACCTTTCCCTGCAACCCAGGAAGTGCTACACCTGCCCCTACACCTCCCCCCTCACCTCCATCCCAGGCCCCAAGAAAACCTTCCACATTAAACAGATGTTCACCTGCACATCCGCTAATGTCTTATACTGTATCTGTTGTTCCAGATGTGGCCTCCTCTACGTCGGGGAAACCAAGCGGAGGCTCGGAGACCGCTTTGTGGAACACCACCGGAGGATTCACGTTGTGTCATCCAGGGAGTTGGAGGGGGAGTTGAAGTGGTTCACGACAAACAACAACACCTCCCAGTCGAGAACCACTTCAATTCCCCCTCCAACTCCCTGGATGACACAACGTGACTCCTCCAGTGTCACAACGATGCCACCCGAAAACTGGAGGAACGGCACCTCATATTCTGCCTTGGAACCCTACAACCCAATGGTCTGAATGTGGACTTTACGAGCTTCAAAATCTCCCCACCCCCGACCACATCCCAAGACCAGCCTACCCTCTTGTCCCTGCCTTCTTGCCCTGTCCGTCTTCTCTCCCACCTATTCGCTCCTCACACCTCACTGACCAGTGCCCGCCCCCACTTCCTATCTACACTCACCTCTACTAGTTTCATTTCCACCTCCTTGACCTGTCCGTCTTCCCTCCCACCTACCCGCCCCTCCCTCCTCACTGACCAACCCCCATCCCAACTCCCCACCTACACTCACCTTTACTGGCTCCATCCCCGCCTTCTTGACCTGTCCGTCTTCTCTCCACCTATCTGCTCCACTATCCACCTTCTAGCACCGCCTCCCTCTCTCTCTATTTATTTCAGAGCCCCCTTGCCCTCCCCCATTTCTGAAGAAGGGTCCAGACATGAAACATCAGCTTTCCTGCTCCTCTGATGCTGCTTGGCCTGCTGTGTTCATCCAGATCTACACCTTGTTATCTCAGATTCTCCAGCACCGGCAGTTCCTGCTATCTCTGGATGCCAGGCACGTAGTATGATAACATTAGAGAGGGTGTTGGTGGTGGTGTTGAGAGAGGTAATAGTGAAGCCGAATGTCATCAATATGCTATGGAAACTAATGTTTTCTTTCAGCATGACATTGCTGAGGATCAGTGTAAATGAGAATACAGCAGGAGATCAAGCATAGCTCTTTGGGAGACATCATGGTGTCTGGATGAAAAAGAAGCTTTTGAAGGTGTTCACCTGGTGAATGACTGTCTCTAATTCAGCAACTTTGTATTTTGTTAATGTTTTGAACTTAAGTGATTAGATTATATTTCTTATTTTTGTGGGTGAGTTCTAACAATTCAAGTAACCTGAGTGCATTATTCGCAAATGTGTCAACAATGTTTCCATTTAGACATGCCAGACGAAGACTTCTTGTGCATCAAATGCTACACAGTTCATGTCACAACATTACATTTTGTAAGCCATTAGATTTAATGTTTAAAATTTAAGTTGTGTTTTTTAAGTAATCCACATTTAATATATGAAGACAAAGGTTGCAGAACATCAATTTCAAGGATTCTAAAACCCACCTGACTGCTCACTCATCCTGAAATATGTTGTGTGAAACTCTGCTCTAGCCAGAACTCAGTTTCAAATATTTGTCATTCATATCATCAAGATTGATTACTGTTACTTCCATAACAACAACCCCTTTCATTGGCATCTTTCTCTTTACCTGCCAACACCTTTTCCAAAAGCTTAGCATTTCCATTTTCTAAGCTCCATTCAAGAGGAACAGCTTGAACTGGGAACTAACTTTTCCAACGCTGGGGTGCAGCTTAACCATTTTATCTGTAGAATGACTGGTTTTGGAGAATGCAAAGTGAAACTGCAACTACTCTTATGCCACATTTATTTTGAGAAAAACAGGTTTAATGTACGTTTCCTTGTGGTGCTTCATGTGGAGTTTTGTTTTACAAAATTAACTTGCTAAAAAAGCTATCCAGATGACCTGTGGGTAGCAGTACAGTGATGTACGCCTGTAGCCTTAGAGGCCAGTTTCTTCCCGGTTTCATGATGGGACTGTGCTAGTTCAGCATCAATTAGTAGGTGTTTCATCTATTGTCAGTGATATTGGTTAGAGAAAATAAAACTGGTGTTTCTTTGTTCCTGATTTTTCAGCTCGTTGTCCCAGCTGCAAAGTGCACTAATTAGATTTCATCTTTTGGGCAGCTGGTCGGCAAGGCATGTACTTTAAGACCAATGACTGTACAGCTATTTGAGGGTTAGGCCCATTGGGTTGGCACAGTGGCTCAGTAGTTAGCATTGCTGCACAAGGGACACAGATTTGGTTCCACCTTTGGTCAACTGTGTGCAGTTTACAACATTCTTCCCACGTTTGCGTGGGTTTCCTCTGTGTGCTCCAGTTTCCTCCTACAGTCCAAAGATGTGCAGGTTAGGTGCATTGGCTGTGCTAAATTGCCCACAGTGTCCATGGAGGTGCAGACCAGAAGATTAGCTATGGGAAATGCAGGGTTACGGGGATGGGGTGGGTCTGGGTGGGATGCTCTTTGGAGGATCAGTGTGGACTCAATGGGCCAAATGGCCTGCTTCCACACTGTAGGGACTCTATGATTCTTATTTAAGAGGAGCTTAGACACTGAGTAGCTGTTTCCTCAGGCTGGAGAGTCTAGAATGAAGGATGGTTTCTTCATGTAAAACTTGGCCATTTAGGATTGAGATAAGAAGAAATTTCTTCATTTACTGTTTCATGAAGTAGTTCTTGAACCAACAAATTTTTGACATGGAGCTACAACTGTTACCAACTGAGCTACTACTAATACCAGTGAGGAAGGGATTAAGCTGGGACAAATAAAGCAAAAAAAAATCTGAATTTCTACATTATTCCATGAGTCCTAATAGATACAGAGTAATTTGATGCAGAACAGTGCAGATTCCATTTAATACATTACCTTAGAGGTGTACACAAATCTGTATTATAAAAGTTGTTTTTATCAAGGAATATACCGTTAACATGTCACTACTAGTTATGTATATTACATTGTACATCAGAGCCTTGGACAATCAGAATGGGGCGAAAGAGGCATGTACATAGAACATAGAACATAGAACTATACAGCACAGTACAGGCCCTTCGGCCCAGGAAATTGTGCCGAGTTTTTACTCTAAACCTAAGGTCTATCTAACCTCCACCCCTACCTTATACTATCATCCATACGTCTATCTAATAGCTGCTTAAATGCCCCTAATGAGACCGACTCCACTACCCTCTCCGGCAATGCATTCCACGCCCCTACCACTCTCTGAGTAAAGAACCTACCTCTGACCTACCTTTACTCACTTTAAAACTATGACCCCTCGTAATAGCTACCTCCACCCTAGGAAAAAGTCTCTGGCTGTCCACTCTATCTATACCTCTGATCATTTTGTACACCTCTATCAAGTCAGCTCTCATCCTTCGTCGTTATAAAGAGAAAAGCCCTAGCTCTCTCAAACTTTCCTCATAATATCTTCCCTCCATTCCAGGCAACATCCTGGTAAATCTCCTCTGCACCTTTTCCAACACTTCCACATCTTTCGTGTAATGAGGCAATGTACGTAACAACATTGGTATTAATTGGCTTTGAGCATGCTTCAAATCAGAAATAGCTCAGGTGAGCATTCAGTCATCTGAAAATATAGGATGTAGTGGGACATGATCCAAGAGATCGTGAAAGCATTTGAACATAACTTTGTTCAGTAAAACTCCAGACAGAATTTAGTTTCTGACCTGGCTGGCAGTTGACTGTAAACATCTAACAGTTCTCTTGTTTGAAAATGATTTAAGGTATCCAGATGTATTAAACAGTGGAGATGTTGACAAAAGTTGAAGACTGAAAGTACTTTCAAGAAGTTAACTAGCTGCTACTTCCAAAGATGGTAAACATGGCCTTTAAAATCTCTGCCTGAATCTAACACAGAGACACAGGGAATAAAACAATTTTTAAAGAAAAAAGTAGGTTGCAGCCTGTAACCTTAGTTAACCTTATTTCTATGGGTTAGACCTAGCTCCCACAGAACCGATTAATTTGATTAAGTCTCCAAATTTTGCTGGTGACTATCAAAAGATTTCTTGCCATACAGACAAGCTTTATTTACAATCCTGTCTTTTTTGCTTCATTTACTATTTGAACAGCGCCAAAAGAAGCTTTTGATTTAGAATGCAGCTTTCTTTTTATTAGAACTCTAAAGAATTGTTTGATATGGATATCATCAACAGAGATTTTTATTTAATTTTTCTGTTGTTGTGTCACAGTGATTCTGTATTCACTTTAAAGTGAACAACATTAACATCAAACCACCGCAAAAACAAAACTGGGGATTTCCAGTAAACCATACCACGTGTATTTCTAACTAGCATACTAATTAACCTCATATTTTCCTTATAAGTTGCATTTTAAAGTCTCATCAGTATCACTAAACTTCTGCTTCTCCTTAAAGATTGTACTTTTGGAAGAATCACTCTCCATCTGCTTTTTACAGTTATAGACATAAAATTTTAGTTGACCAATGTACTTATGAACTGATGATCAGAGGATTAGATAGGGTGGACAGTGGGAGCCTTTTTCCTCGGATGGTGATGGCTAGCACGAGGGGACATAGCTTTGAATTGAGGGGTGATAGATATAGGACAGATGTCAGAGGTAGGTTCTTTACTCAGAGAGTAGTAAGGGCGTGGAATGCCCTGCCTGCAAAAATAGTAGACTCGCCAACTTTAAGGGCATTTAAATGTTCATTGGATAAACATATGGATGATAATGGAATAGTTTAGGTTAGATGGGCTTCAGATTGGTTTCACAGGTCGGCGCAACATTGAGGGCCGAAGGGCCTGTACTGCGCTGTAATGTTCTATGTTCTATGTTTTATGTTCTATGACAGGAAGATTTATAAAAGCATATTTAGGAAATATGGTTTTGTTGGCTGGGCTAGCATTTATTGCCCTTCACTAATTGCCCTTGAGAAGGTGGTAAAGTGAGTTGCCTTCTTGAACCACAGTTGTAGAAACATAATGCCGCTGGGGAGAGAATTCCAGGATTTTGACTCAATGACATTGACGTTATAGCAAAACATTTCCAATACAGAATGATGACTGGCTTAGAGAGAAACGTGCAGACGGTGATGTTTCCATGTATCTGCTGCTCTTGTCTTTTGACATGGTAGCGGTCTGGGTTTGTAAAGCACTAGCTAAGGAGCCTTGGTGAATTTCTGCAGCGCATCTTGCAGATGGCACACACAACTGCTACTGAGCATCAGTGGTGGTGTTTATGAATGTTTGTGGATGCGGTGCCAATCAAGAGGGCTGCATTGTCCTGGCTGGTATTGAACTTCTTGAGTGTTCTTGGAGCTGCACTCATCCAGGCAAGTAGGGAGTATTCCATCACACTCCTGATTTGTACCTTATATCCTGTGTGCAATTCTAGTTGCTGTGTGCAGTTCTGGTCACCCTACTTTAGAAAGGATATTATTAAACTAGAAATATTGCAGAACAGATTTACTAGGATGCTACCTGGGGTAGAGGGTTTGAGCAATAAGGAGAGGTTGGATATGCTGGGCTTTTTTTCCTGGACCATAGGAGACTGAGGTTTGACCTTGAAGATGTATATAAAATCACGAGAGGCTTAGATAAGGTAGACAGCGGACAGCTTTTCCCAGTGGTAGAGGGGGCCTAAAACTAGAGAGCATAGGTTGAAGGTGAGAGGGAAGAGATACGAAAGGGTTCAGAGGGGCAATTTTGTCACACAGAGGGTGGTGATTGCCTGGAATGGGCTGCTCAGGGCAGTGGTGGAACGAGTACAGTTTCATCATTTAAGAAACATTTAGACAGGTATATGGATGGGATAAGTATGGAGGGATACGGACCAAAAGCAGGCAAACAGGACTAACTTAAATTGTGAAAAATAGGCGGCATGGGCAAATTGGGCTGAAGGGCCTGTTTTCATGGTGTAGACCTCTGTAACTCTATCACTTGCAGATAGTGAACATGCTTTGGAGAGTCAGGAAGTGAGTTACTCACCACAGTATTCCTAGCCTTCAACCTGATCTTGTAGCCAAAGTATTTGCATCGATGACAAAAGAAAAACAATGAACTGCAATGGTGGAAATTTAAAAGAAAATTGCAAGAGAAATTCAGCATCTGTGGGGAGACTGCAAAGTTAATGTTTCGGGTCATAGAGTCACAGAATTGTACAGTTCGGAAACAGATCCTTCAGTCCAATTTATCTGCGCTGACTAGTTAATTAATCTAGTCCCATTCGCCAGCATTTGGCCCATGTCCCTCTAAACACTTCCTATTCATGTATACATCCAGATGCCTTTTAAATGTTGTAATTGTACCCGCCTCCACCACCTCCTCTGATAGCTCATTCCATAAACATTGCAGCTTCTACATGAAAAAGTTGCCCCTCAGGTTGTTTTTAAATGTTTTCCTTTTCACCTTAAACATGTGCCGTCTAGTTTTGGACTCCCCTACCCTGGGAAAAAGACCTTGGCTATTCACCTTATCCATGCCTCTCGTGATTTTATGAACTTCTACACAGTCACCCCTCAGCCTCTGACACTCCAGGGAAAAAAAGCCCCAGACTAAGGTAATCCTTCTTCAGAACTGAACCTGAAAATGTTAACTCTACTTTCTCTCCACAGATACTGCCAGACCTACTGAGTTTCTCCAGAAATTTCTGTTTTTCTTTATTTATATTGCTAGTCTAGTTTCTGGTCAATGCTAAGCCCCCAGAATGTTAATAGTGTGGAATTCAGTGATGGTTATGACATTGAATGTCAAGGGGTTGTAGTCAGATTGTCTTTTATTTGAGATGGTCATTGCCTGGCATTTGTGTGGCATGAATGTTACTTGCCACTTGTCAGGCCAAATCTGGACATTTTTCAGGTCTTGCTGCATTTGAACATGGACTACTTCAATATTTGAGGAGTCGCGAATGGTGATGAACATTGTGCAATCATCGGTGAACATTCCCATATCTGACCTTATGATGGAGGGAAGGTCATTAACGAAGCAGCTGAAGATGGTTGGCCTATGAGACTATTTTGAGAGATCTCCTGCAGTAATGACATGGAGTTGAGGATGACAGACCTCCAACCACCACAACCATATTCCTTTGAGCTAGACATGGCAAAAATCAGCAGGAAGATTTCCCTCTGATTTCCATTGCCTCTGGTTTTGCTAGGACTCCTTGATGTATCACTCGGTCTAAAGCAACTTTGACGTCAAGGACAGAAACTCTCATCTCCCCTTTGCAGTTCAGCTCTTTAGCGCATGTTTGTACTAAGACTGTAATGAGGTCAGGAACAGAGTGGCGGAACCCGAACTGGGCATCAGTGAGCACGTTGTTGCTTGATAGCACTGTTAATGATACCTTCCATCACTATGGTGATGATTGAGAATAGACTGATGGAGCAGTACTTGTTCACACTGGATTTGTCCAGCTTTTTGTGTGCAGGACAACCTGGACAATTTTCCACTTGTCAGTTAGATGCCAGTGTTGTCGTTGTTCTGGGATAACTATGAATATGAATGGTTCACTAATGTCCTTTAGGGAAGGAAGCTGCCATCCTTACCTGGTCTGGCCTACATGTGACTCCAGACCCACAGCAATGTGGTTGACTCTTAACTGCCCTCTGGGCAATTAGGGATGGGCAATAAATGCTGCCTAGCCAGCAATTCCCTCAATCCATGAATGAATAAAATAAATGGAGAAAGAGAGGGAGAGGTCGCTGATGCCAAAGGGGGTGAGGTTAAGTTGCAGTGCATGATTTATTCATTCACAGGAGGTGGGTATTGCTGGTAATTATTGCCCATCCCCCTACACTTTGAGAAAGTAGCGATGACTTTACCTTTTACAGTCTCAGGGTGTAGGGCTACCCACAGCACTGTAAGGGACGGAGTTCCAGCATATTAACTCAGCAACAGAAAAGGAGGGAGGGAGTTAGTCATCGCTGCATCCACCTGCCCCAATACTTAATGTACAGAGCACTAAATCCCAACCAAAGTAGCTTAGTCTGAATGATCCAACAATGTCATGCTACAGAAATGAGTTTTATCATTATGACTCACCTCCACACTCCAGCCACAGGTCTACCTTTTCATACACTGCCTTCCTAACCAAATTGGAGAGTAAAAAGACCCTTTACAGAGTTAAATGATGCTTGGCTGTCAGCAGAACAGCCTTTTTAAAATCCCATTTTCAATATTTGTACATCTGTTAAAGAGAACTGTTTAAAGAAAATTTTAAAAAAATCACAATCTCTTTCTCATGTCCATGTGATATTTCTCCAGAGCTGCTCAAGAAAGACCTACTGATTGATTTTAAAAATCTGAAGACTCCAGGCAAATCCTGGAGGGTTGGTAGGGCAACCCTATTACAGATCCAGGTAATAACTTATGTTTTACAAGGAAACAAAAGAAACCGAAGGCAAACACTCAGTGTTGAAAAAGAATCCTTCAAATAAGCAGAAACAGAACAAGGTGTGTGTGCTGGGGTTTACGGAAGGGTGGCACAATGGCTCAGTGGTTAGCATTACAGCCTCCCAGCACCAGGGACCTGGGTTTGATTCCACCCTTGGGTGACTATGCAGAGTTTGCCCATTCTCCCTGTGCCTGCGTGGGTTTCCTCCAGTTTCCTCCGACAGTCCAAAGATGTGCAGGTTAGGTGAATTGGTCATGCTAAATTGCCCATGATGTGTAGGTTAGGTGGATTAGCCATGGAAAAAATGCAGGGTTGCAGGGATAGGGTAGGGAGGTGCGTCTGGGTGGGATGCTCTTCAGAGGGTTGGTGTGGATTCAATAGGCTGAATGGCCTGCTTCCGCACTGTAAGGATTTTAAGAAGAAGGAATTCGCAAAAGTGCACGAGAGAAATGGTCTTGTGTGCTAAGTATGAATAGGAAGCACATAATGTATAAGGATGGAAGTGCTAAAAACTTTACCTTTAATTTATTATTACGAGTCAACATCATAGTGTTAAAGATTAAAAATGAAAAATTTGAATTCCAGCACAAAAAAGGGATATAAACATTGGTCTAAAATAAACACCAAATGATTAACTTGGAACTAAGACCTGTTGAGTTGGATTTCAACAATGATCGTATTTTAGAATTAATTTCTAGGTTTCAACAGAGTAAGGTGTTGATATATGATTGTACAAGTCGTGCCAGCTATGACAATTGATCCCATGAATCATCTCAAGAACTAAAGACAGACTGTTTCTTATTGAAACACAGGCATGAGGCTGAATCTTTGTTCTCTGTTTCAGGTGGAAGGATAATGTCTGCAGATCTCATGGTTCCAAAGATTGCACACAGGAGCATTGTAATCACAAAATAAGATGAATTAAGAATCTCTGAAAATGTTAAGGTTAAAAGCCTTGAATGCTGAATGGAACAGTTATTTTTCAAAGACAGTGCTAACTTATGTTCGACCTTGTGAAATCATCCTACCTTTCTACTGAGCAAGATCTGTAAGTCAAGAAATTGGGCTTGTTTCTGTTTTATTTTTGAGCATCTTTGTGTCTCCAATTGACTCCTGGAAGGATTTGTGCCAGGCATCTTATTGTTAAAGGCTTTAGTGTATGCAGTGAGATCAGTATCTCAATCACCCACGGCTGTTTTTGAGTTCTAGCTAATATCTTTTCTGAATCTCTCTTAAAAAAAGGGCATATGATAAGGTGGTGCGCAAAAGGTTAACAGGCAAGATAGGGGCCATGGAGTTGAGGATACCATATTAGCATAGATAGAGGATTTGTTAACCAACAGGAAGCAGAGAGCAGGCATAAGGGGGACATTTTCAAGTTGACAGGCAGTTAATAATGGAGTATCACAAAGGGTCAGTGTTGGGACCTCAGCTATTTACAAGCTACATCAATGATTTTGATGCTGAGGCAGGAAGTAGTGTACCAAAGTCTGCTGATGCTACAAAACTACATGGAAAACTAAGTTGTGGGGAGAAGACAAAGAGGCTTCAAAGAGATACAAACAGATTGAGTGAGAGATCAGCAAGATGGCAGATGGTCTATAACGTAGGGAAGTTTGACATTATTCACGTTGGTCATAAGAATGAAAGAGCAAAATATATTTTAAAAGATGTGAAATCTGTAAGTATCAATTTTCCAAGATACTTGGATGTTCTTATGCAATATGTGCAGGAAGTTAATGTGCAGATACAGCAGGGCAATTAGGAATGTAAATCGCATATTAGCCTTTATTTCAAGGGCACTGCAGAACAGGAGTAACAAAATCTTGTTACAATTGTATAGGAAACAAGAAAAAAAAGGAAGTGCTGGAGAATCTCAGCAGGTCTGGCCACATCTATAGAAAGAGAAAATGGTATATTAGCCTTTATTGCAAGGGCAGTGCAGTACAGGAATAAATACATCTTGTTACAATTGTTTGGGAAAGAGAAAATAAAGCCAGTGCTGGAGAAACTCAGCAGGTTTGGCCGCATCTATAGAGAGAGTTAAACCAAGTTAAATTTCAAGTCACTGGACTTGAAATGTTAACTCTGTTTCTCTCTATATATATGCTGCTAGACCTGCTGGGTTTCTCTAGAACAGGTAGTTGTCCTGTAACATGATAGTTGCGTTCTTGTGCGACCTCACACTATAGAAAATCGTGTTATGGGGAAATTGCTATAGAAAGTAGCTATACTGTACAGTAGAAAGTTCACATTATCCAAACAGCATCCACTACTCCTCAATTGCATTACAGCTAATTTGCGTTGTAGCAGAAATACCTGAACTTTGTTTCAGATTTACAGCACCTACGGTTCTTTGTTTTACAAAATTATACAGGGTTGTGATGAGGCATCTGAAATACTGCATGCAGTTTTGGCCTCCCCTTTTAAGAAAAAATATATTTGTATTAGAGGCTATACATCAAAAGTTAAACTAAATTAAGCCCTGGGATAACGGGGTTGTCCTGTGATAAGAGGCTAAGCAAATTTGGTCTCTACTGTCTAGAGGAAAGTAAGATGATTTAGGATGCAAGATTACAAGAGTCTGAAAGGATTTTACAGGGCAGCTGCTGAGAGATAGATTCCATGACCAACAGAAACACAAATGCAGGAGCACAATCTCAGGACAAAGGGTTTATGATTTCAAACTGAAATATGGAGAAAGGATTATAAATTTTTGAAATTCTCTGCCGCAGTGGATGGTGGGATCTCCAGTTAAGAGTGGGATAGACAGATTTTTAATCTCTCGGGAATCAAAAGATATGGCTTCTTTAGTAAATTTGTGAAAGAAAGGCAGATATTTGAATGGACATAAGAACATGCGCATGCCTTTGACAGCTTGAAAGCTGTGTCAATAATGCTTCAGTCTTAGCTGCACTCGAATCCATTATGAAAGTACATTGTGAGAACCCATTCAGACTAACTGCTAATGTTAACGGCATTGGTATAAGTGCCACTTTAATACAAAAAGATTAAATAAAGATTGAGCTGTCAATTATTTTTCAAAGAAACTGAATACACATCATCAAAAATACTCAATGGTGGAAGAGGAGCCATTGAATCTTGTGTTGGCTCTACATAAGTTTGAATTCTACATACTAACAATGTGGAAGAAAGTGTTATTTAATCCTTTGATTTCTTTCTATTTTTGTTTGGAGATATTTCAAGGCAAGAACTTGTGATTGCTTCAGTGGAGTTTGGTCCTCCAGCTATACAATTTAAAGCAGTCATCTGCCTAGAAAAGGCAATGTCATGGCTAATCTTTATTAAGAGCACATATGGAGGAACCCAGATGCCATGATGCAAACTGATTTAAGTAAAATGTGATTGCTGTGAAGTTTGTTTTCCATGTAAAGATATTACTGATAATGTAATACAGAAATAATCTTCAAAAAATAATTCTTCTATGTGAATTTTAATGCCACTTATCATTTTCATTTTTCTTTGGGGTGAGTTGTGATGAAAGGTGTCTGATTTATATATGTATATTAATATCACTTTTAGAGTTTGTATTTTAAAATAGCGGTATATGGAGTTGGTTACATTTTTGAAGGGTCTTAAAAATAATCAGACATACCTTTCAGAACACTGGACTAATCCACTTTGCCTGAGGCAGCAGAGACCCTCTGAACTGTTAAAGGAAGGATTATTTTTACTCTGTTGATTTATAATAGAGACACTAATTTGTTTTTGGTTCAGAATAATGAAGGATTGATTGTAGCTTCGAAATCTTGGAGAAGAAGTTCTTGGGAATAATAGAGGAAAACTGATCAGTAGAAAAGTTTGGTTTATGCAACTTCCAGACTGAGTGTTTAGCTAAAAATCTGCAGATTATTAAAAGCTCAGAGTATCTCAGCTCTCAGTTTTGAGTATTCATGTAAGATGATTCCACAAATTACAGGAAAGAACTGAGAAGATGTGGTTAAGTCAAACTTCAATGATTTGATACAGAGGGTTAATTTCTCTGGATTTGAATCACTGTAAGGTGATGGTGTCAAGAAATAGATTGAAACTTAATTTTGCTGTATGTTTTAATATCTTCTTTCTAACAGTGTTTCATATCTAGAAAACTTTTTCTAGGTTTTATTCATCCTGTTTGGAACACAAATAAGTGTTATACTGGGCTTAAATCATTAACTGTGTTTCTCTCTCCAGACCTGTTGAGTTTCTCCAGCATTTTCTGTGTTTGTTTCAGATTTCTAGCATCTTCAGTATTTCGCTTTTAATATAGGTGGGATGTTGCTTAAAGTATTCATTTGCAGAACATTGACACATGATAACTTTTTGAAAATTACACAAGGGGTCCGTAGCTAAAATGACTTGAAGCACTTTACATGTTTCCAGTAGTGCAGTGGCAAATGCATTTATTATTTTAAAAGCAGGGATGGACAGTTACTGCTAAAAGGAAGTAAGTTGAATGAAGCTGTGAACAGGTGGTTCCTACAGCTTTATCCCTCCACTTGGAACTGAAATTGAATGGAGAATTAAAGAGATAATAGCATTAACGACAGTGCTCACAATGTATGGAAAGACCTTGTACGTTACAGAATAAATGTTACTAATTCATGCCACTTTGTTGAGTTTTAAATGACATTTGGCCTATACAATAACAACCGTGCTTTTAAACTCAAAATTGTTCCTTTTTGTTCTAGATTACTCTCTGCTCTCCCTTGTTATTACTTAGCAATCTTGCAGATTAAAATGCTATGAGGATTGCCGGTGTGCAGGTGGAACGAAAGTGAGAAAATATGAAGCATTTTGAAACCACATCTATGTCACCATGGACATGTTTATTCTCCTTATTTAAGGGGGTTTACTTGCATTAGAAGCAGTTCAGAGAAGATCTTACAAACTGACTAAAACTTCTACAGCACCCTTTGTGACCTTTGGGATGCCCTAAGGCAGTTCATAACATGTTCAGTACTCCTCAAGTGCTGTGACTAAAAACATGTCAGGCAATCAATGTACAGCAAGTTTCCACAAACAGCAATGTGATAATAACCAGTTAATCTGTATTTGTGAAGCTAACTGACGGATAAGTTTTGGTCGTCTTTGAAGTCATGGGATTTGTTATCTAGGCCTAAGGACAGGATGTTGATTTTAAAAGGAATTATGTTATTGCCTCCAGCTGGGGATCTTAGTGTACCCCTATGTACAATTATATTTATCTCCAGTTCAGTTTGGCTCAGTCGTTCGTAATCTTGTCTCTGAGTCAGAAGGCTGTAGATTCAGTCATCTTAAAGAACATAAGTGTAAGCTTATATTCAGGGTGACTTTACAGTTGTGTTTATTTTGTTGGTTTGTTAGTTTTTATGGAACAATGCCAGTTAGTTTGAAGCTGGTCGTTTGCTTTAGTAAGTCTTCTGGAATGAATATTTGTTTTCTAAGCATGCACTTCAGAAAATGTTACAATGTATTATAAATCAGATGCAGCCAAAGTGAGATGACTTCAATTGTGCCAAATTCATTTATCCATGATGACCTTGGGATAATGCCACCAATTCATTAGTTTATAAATTCACTTCACTAGGTTGCATAATCAATTCAACTAGTTTTGAAATTAGGTTGCCGAATTGCAGAGTTTGCAACACTAGTCATCCCCAGCATATGAACCATATTCTAAGTGACGCAATCTCATGAACCTTTGAAACAAATTCTGATATAATAGTGAGCAAAACTGCATTTTTCATAGCTGTTCTGTTTCTGTAAATGCCAAAAGCATTTAGGAATCTTTGTAAATCTACATCATGAAACTGAATAACAGGTAAGATAAACTATACTAATATCTAGTACTATCAGCACCACTGATAATGTTAAAAACTTTAAAAACGCAATGCAGTTTTTCGGGAGAGCTCTCACTATTCAAAAACAGATCGTGCTTTCTTGGATTTCAGGGTACTATTCCCAAGTTAAAATGAATGAAAGAATAAGGATGGAAATTTCTTTCTTGGCTTTTACCATTCCACTAGAAGATACAAGTTGATTTGCTTTTTACTTTCTTCTGTTTGGTAATTTCCACTTGCAATATCCATAGACAATGTACTTTCACAATTGATATTGGAATTAAGCTATAGAGCTCTGGATTGGGTGTTTATAATGTTGCCCCTCCCTATCTTTTGTAATGTCTTCCACTTCACAACCCTCCAAGCTATCTGCACATCTAGAATTCTGACATTCTGGGGCATCCCTGATTTCCGTTAGCTGCTAGGACCCACTTTCTCAAAAACCCTGCCTATATTTCTCCATCTGTCTAGCTTTTCATCCTGACATATACTCCTTAAAACCTACCTTTTAAGAAAAAAGAACAATCTGCCCTATTATCTCTTTGTATTACATTACTCCCTTGTAAAGCACCTTGAGATGTTTTAGTTCGATTAAAAGTGCTTCATAAACACAAATTGTTGTGTTGTTATTAACTGTCAGTTGACAACTTTTGGAAACTGAATTGAAATTGCCCAAATCCATTATGTAGGCCAACTATTTTAAGCCATTAATTAATGAAAGATTCAAGCCCAAATCCCGAAAATATAACAAAAAATTTGGAAATCTCTTGTACTATCCAAATCTTTCCAAAAGTGTCATAGCTCAAAACAATATTCTTCTCAGCATAATCTCTCCAGAAACAACTGAAAATGTGAAGAATGGTTGATTTGTGCTGTTAGTGTTGAAATAACAATTTAAAAGCATTTCCCTTAAAGCCTAACCATTAAATTTTACTACAAGTTTTGGAATAATTGAAAAGTTAATTGGAGAGTGCTCACACATTACCGACCCTTACCGAAGACCTGAAGCCATGTATGGCACGGGATATTTCACATTTCCTCGACCACCCTAGTCTCTCAGCACTCGACCTCCATCCAGCCTCTGTCATATATTACTCTTAGTTTTAAATAGTAGGCCTGTGATCCCTTTCTGAAAACAAAATATGCTGGAGTTCACAACGGGTCAGGCATCATCCATGGAGAGAGAGCAAGCTAACGTTTCGAGTCTAGATCCCTTTCTGCTAGTCTTGCTGTAGGTTTTTCAATATGTAATAAACAAAAGCTAAAACTGCCTGAATTTGTACATCATACCATCAAATTATTGCTACTTATTCATGAAAGTTATGACTCAAAGCTATAAGTGTCACTCTTTTAACCTGTAGTTTGCCAATTTATCATAACTTTGAACAGTTGTAACTAAAATGATGTACTGTCAGCTCTGAGCACAAGAGGGAGCTCACATGCAAGTTATTACCTCTGAAATTATGCCCAAATCCCCACAATTTATGTTTGCATTTCTTTTGGTGATATCTTGAATTCTAGATTCACCTTTTCTGGTGAATGATATTATGTATGATAACAGATTGTGCAATTTTAAGAGTCAAGTGGTTAGCTCGGAAATTCTCATTTATTCAGTAGAGACTTATGAATCTTAACATTAGAGAAATGCAGTTAATCAATCAAAGAACACAGATACACATATTGTAAAGCTGCATGTATCTGTGTATCATCTATTGGATATAATTGCAAAGTTCAAATATGTACTTTTCCTAGACAACAGTACAGTAGATACAGGCATGACAATTATGTATTACGCATTAAAGCTCAGCTAATATCGTTTTGCCTTACAAGAGCTTAACAACAGTCAGATGGACAACTGAAAGATCTTACTAAATGGATTTTTCTAACAGTAATCAAATAGTAAATTTAAGAATATAGAAGTAGCAGTAGGCCATTCAGCCCCTCAAACCATTTCAAATCAAGACTGATCATATACCTCAATGCAATTTTCCACCATTATCCTCTTATCTCTCAATGCCTCTAATATCTAGAAATCTAGCTATCTCTATCTTTAGCATAGAGAGCTTCCACTGGGGTAGTGAATTCCAAAATATCACAACTCTGAGAGTGAAGGAATTCCTCTTCATCCCAGTCCTAAGTAGCATGCCCCTTATTCTGAGACTGCGTCCCTGGTTGTAGACCACTGACCTAACCCTGTCCGTACCTTTAACAATTTTTAAATTTTCTCTGATATTGCCTCTCAGACTTCAAAACACCAGAGAATACAGGCCCAGTCTCCCCAGTCTCTCCACATTAGGACAGTTACATCATCCCAAGGATGTGTCTGGTGAACCTCTGCTGCATCCACTTCGCGGACTGTGCATTCTTCCTTGAGCAGGGAGACGACAACTTCACATAATGGTCTGGGTGAGGTCTCACAAAGATATTACATAATTTTTTTCCTATTCATTTACGGGATGTGGGCATTGCTGGTTGGCCAGCATTTCTTCCCCATCCCTAGCTGCCCTTCAAAAGGTGGTGGTGAGCTGCCTTCTTGAACCGCTGCAGTCTACCTTCTGTAGACTGACCCACAATGCCATTAGGGAGGGAATTCCAGGATTTGGACCCAGCAACAGTGAAGGAACGGTGATATATTTCCAAGTCAGGATGGTGAGTGGCTTGAAGGGAACTTGGAGGTGGTGGTGTTCCCATATGTCTGCTGCCCTTGTCCTTCTAGATGGAAGTGATTGTGGGTTTGGAAGGTGCTGTCTGAGGATCTTTGGTGAATTTCTGCAGCACATCTTGTAGATAGTACACACTGCTGCTACTGAGGGTCGGTGGAGGGAGTGGATGCTTATGGATGTAGTGCCAATCAAGTGGGCTGCTTTGTCCTGGATACTGTCAAGCTTCCTGAAGGAAGACACCTTTACTCCTGTACTCAAACTTCTTGTGGAAAAGGTCAAGGAGCCATTTGTCTTCCTAATTGCTTGTTGCATTTGGATTTTGGCCTTCAGTGACTTATGAGCAGAACACCTAGGCCCTATTGGACATCAACATTTAATCTCTTTCCATTTAATAAATACTCTGCACCTCCAACCATCCTACCAATGTGTAAAATCTCACATTATATTTCATCCTCCAAGTTCTTGCCCATTTACTCAGCCTGTCCAAATTATTCTGAAGCCTCTTTATGTAATCCTAACAATACACATTTTCACCTAATTTGTTGTCATCTGCAAACTTGGAAACATTAGATTTGGTCCCCACATTGAAATCATTGATACAGGTTGTGAACAGGTCATGTCCATGCACTGATCCTTGTGGTATCCCACTACTCAAAACCTGCCAATCTGAAAATGAGCCATTAATTCCATCTTTCTGTTTTATTTCCATTAACCATATCTAAATCAATGCCATTGTCTTACAACTTATCCCATGTGCTATAATTCTGGTTACTGACCTCCTCAATGGGATGTTATTTAAAAGTCTTCTGTAAATCTAAATACCCATATCCACTGGCTCCCCATTATCTGCTCTGCTGATAACATCAACAAAAAGGTAATATTATTATCAATGTTGACATTTGCCAATCCTACTGTTATTTTCTAAGTAACCAATTACCACATACTTTATGAGATTCAAAAACGAAGTTGCTAGAAAAGCTCAGCAGGTCTGGCAGCATCTGTGGAGGAGAAAACAGAGTTAACGTTTCGGGTCCGGTGACCCTTCCTCAGAACTCAGTTCCACAAAAGACTCACCTTTTCAACGTTTCCACTCTCCTGAGGCATGGCGATGTTCAGGTTAAACCA